CTTTTCTTTAATTTGTTCCACCCCAACTGTCAACTTGACCACACTATACAGACTTGTTATATTTTTGTTAAGGCTGTCGTATTGTATTTAGGGTATTTCTCTTGAGAGAGAAAGTTCCAGAAACGCTGATTCGATTGTTTTTTATCAATTGCGTTTATTGATGAAAGATGAAAAACAAAAAGCTGGTGATCGGATCAACGTTTCCGAAAATATGCAATGTAGGATCTAACAAAATGGCTCAAATGGGTCTAATATTTGGATATACGCCTTTTAGTCAGATCCTATATGCAATTGCTATGTACTTAAGCCTTTAGCTGATTTTATGTATAGAGAAAAGTAATACCTTTGAGCATTCGCCCTCTTGTCAGATCATGCATATAAGTCTAAGAAATCACTCGGCGAACTTAACTCCAATACGGAATAATTGACCGTTACGCCCCTTTGTCAGATCAGCGACGAAATTGTTACAAAAATGCGACTTTATTGGAGTAAGGCGGGGTATTATAAAACTGCTTTGACAGTTAACTTAAAGTTAACTTTTTGAATTACATGTAATTCCAGAAGTTAACTTTAAGTTAACTCTCAAAGTAGTTTTATAATACCCACCCTAAATCTTACAAACATCAATGTATATCCCATATCCCCATGGTTATTCGTTTTTACATAACAGCTACGAAAAAATGTGATCTAGAACAGAAAAGTGGTTGGTAAAAATTGCCTTCGTTTTATTTTTAGAATATACAAACTCACAGCACTCGAAAAATACATGTTATTATCAACTACTCCGCTTAACTTCAAGTAAGTCAGAAAAATGGTAAAAAAATAGACTGAAGGCAGATGATGTAGTTTTAGGCTATGGTCCGAATATAACCAAACGTTAACCAAAGTAACCGAATCGGTTGACAGATGGTTACTGAAAATTCCGGTTACTTGGAGAACGCGAATATGACATGAAAAATAATTGACAGAATCTACAGATAACACCAACAGAACCGACATTTGATAGCCGGAAACTATTTTGACCTTTTGGTTAACCAGATTTCAGGAAACCAAAGTCCAAAAGTAACCATTTTTTCCGGGAACTATAGAGTAATTTGATTACTTTCGGACCGCGAAACCACAACCCTGGTTATATTCGGACCACAGCCTTAGGGCGGGTATTATAAAACTGCTTTGATAGTTAACTTGAAGTTAACTTTTTGAATTACATGTAATTCCAGAAGTTAACTTTAAGTTAACTCTCAAAGTAGTTTTATAATACCCGCCCTTAATAGGTAATAAGCTCTGTTCCAATCGACATGAGAACCGTTCCAGAACCAGTAATTTCCAGTTGCCCACCTATTTTCCAATAAGTTGAACGTTTATCCTACTTGACTAATGGATTGATCGACAGGAAATTACCGTTCTAGAACGGTTCTCATGTCGATTGGAACAGAGCCATATTTTTTCTCCAAGCGTCAAAAAAACGTCACTTTGTTAGTTAGCACCTGTCAAGATGTTATATAGGTTTTTTATGTTAATTCAGGATGAAGTCGATGAAGTCATCGAATAAAAACAGACAATGTTCTCAATGCCTATTTTTTTTCTTATAATTTACTAGAATGTCATGTGTCAATAATTCTGACGACAGCTAAAAATACCGAAATGAAAATGCTTATATAAGTCATGCAACGTCCCGCGCCGTTGCCAACTAAAAACATCTGAAATTCCCCTACTTTGAAGCGTTAAAAAGTACCTACTTTTAGTTTTGTTAGGTTGGCAGCAGAAATTTACTAAATGTGACGTCATCCTAAATATAGCGTAAAAATCTTAGAGCAGGAAAGCACTGTCCTACGGACATAAGGAGTAGGAACGCGCCATTCTGCTTATGAAACTAAAGTGAAGCCAAGTTTTTGGCAGGTGTTTGGCACCAAGATACAGGTAAAGCATTGAATTGCCATAAGCGCCATTTTCTTGGTGCCAAAATACCTGGAAAAAAAACGGCTTCATTTTCCAAATCCAGGTTACTACTCCTCTTTACCTTTACCTGCTCTAAGGTAAAAATCCTATAAATTTAAATTTTATGCTTCTAGGCAAATCCAGCAGGTTAACACTTAACACCTGTCGGGATGGTAGAAATTTATTTTTTCCCCAAACGTCAAAAAACGTCACTTTGTCAGCACCTGTCAAGATGTTAGAAATTTAATTTCTATGCTGGTAGGCAAATCCAGCGGGTTAACACCTGTCGAGGTGGTAGAAATTTAATTTTTCTCCAAACGTCAAAAAAACGTCACTTTGTTAACACCTGTCAAGATGTTAGAAACGTAATTTCTATGCTGCTAAGCAAATCCAGCGGGTTTACACCTGTCGAGGTGGTAGAAATTTAATTTCTATGCTGCTAAGCAACCGCAGCGGCAGTAGAAGTACTTTTAGTGCCGCTGGAGCGGCAGCAAAAGTACTTTTAGTGCCGCTCGTACTTTTACTGCCGATCAACCATCCAGTTACCCCCGAGTTTACCCCATTTGTTTGGAGAAAAAAATAGCGTGTTGCATACGGAGTAGAAGCACTTTTTTGTGCTTCAGCAGTATTGCAAGCCTCACTACGTTCGGCTCGCAAACCTACTGCTTCAGCACAAAAAAGTAAAGCTTCTACTCCCAATACAACAATATACTATTCTATGCTGCTAGGCAACCGCAGCGGCAGTAGAAGTACTTTTAGTGCCGCTGGAGCGGCAGCAAAAGTACTTTTAGTGCCGCTCGTACTTTTACTGCCGCTTGACCATCCAGTTGCGCCCGAGCTTACCCATTCGTTTGGAGAAAAAATAGCGTGTTGCATACGGAGCAGTATTGCAAGCCTCACTACGTTCGGCTCGCAAACCTACTGCTTCAGCACAAAAAAGTAAAGCTTCTACTCCCAATACAACAATATACTATTCTATGCTGCTAGGCAACCGCAGCGGCAGTAGAAGTACTTTTAGTGCCGCTGGAGCGGCAGCAAAAGTACTTTTAGTGCCGCTCGTACTTTTACTGCCGCTTGACCATCCAGTTGCGCCCGAGCTTACCCATTCGTTTGGAGAAAAAATAGCGTGTTGCATACGGAGCAGTATTGCAAGCCTCACTACGTTCGGCTCGCAAACCTACTGCTTCAGCACAAAAAAGTAAAGCTTCTACTCCTAATATAACAATATACTATTTTTTCCAAATGCCAAAAAAACGTCACTTTGTTAACACGTGTCCAGATGTTAGAAATTTCCTTAGAGCAGGTGATGCGCTGTCCTGCTCTAAGGAAATTCCATTTCTATGCGGCTAGGCAAATTCAGCGGGTAAACACCTGTCGAGATGGCAGAAATTGAATTTCTATGCTGATAGGCAACCCCAGCGGTAGTAGATTACTTTTATTGCCGCTCGTACTTTTACTGCCCCTCAACCATTCACTTACCCCCAACTTCACCCAATTCGGTTGGAAGAAAAAACAGCGTGTTGGCATACGGAGTAGAAGCACTTTTTGAGCTTCAGCAGTATTGCAAGCCTCACTACGTTCGGCACAAGAAAGTAAAGCTTCTTGGTGAAATGGTCACTTTAGCAATCCACTCATCTCGTAGCAAGTTTTTCCAGACATTGCCTTTACCAACCAACGGCAGCTACGCGAGCGGACAATCGGAAATACGATGACAGAAGAAAAAAGAGCACAGCATTAATTCAATTATAATTAATTTAGCACAAAATCACAATGGATCTGTAATCGCTTTCTTCGTCTGTCAGATACTCCTTGCGGATCGATAATACTCAGTAGGTAAGTGTCGGACAGTTTCTTGCTTAACGTCAAGACCAAGACCTGACTCTAGACATTTACGATGTATCCATCTGAAATCGAGTAGAACTCCAGACAATAGAACTTGAGATTCTGCAAAATCAGATATTGTCCGTCGTTTTTCATCTGACACTTTCCGTATGAGGTGCGAGGTGTGAAGCTTATGGCAAAGACAGGTCTAATGTAGGGAGCCACCAGCTCACATTCCTTTGGAGTATCAGAATAAAATCGACGGACTTTATGTCTTTGATAGGGAAATAATGCTTTCTGCGATACAAGTTTGAAGATTTTAGACGCCGTTTTAAAGTACATTCGCTAACACAAAAGCCGTGATTTAGAAGATACAAAAGTATTTCAAACCTCCGTAGACCCGTATGAAAATAATATTTAATACATAGCTTTGTTTATTCCATCTGATATTTGTACCATTATGTGAAGAATGAGAAACAAACAAGGCAAATTGACCGTACACAACGCACAATTTACAATAAGACCGGGTTTGAGGTTGACGATACCTTCAAAAGTGATCTACTTATCTCGACCGGTCGACTTAGGTATTTCGACCGGTTAACTTAGCCATCTCGACCTGGTTGAGGTAATATCCCGACGGTTCGACAGAAGAAAAAAAAATGTTAGTAGCCCTTCAACGCTTCTGTAAGATTTTCTACCTAACTAATAAAATCATATTTAGAATTACATACCCATGACCAAAGTTGATAAACGAAAATCAGAATCAGTTTACCAAATCAATAATTTTCAAATGATTAATCGTTCGGTTCCAAGCAATTGCACTAAGTCGGTTCTTACAATACATAGCAGCTGCATCGATTCTAGGTGGGCAAACTAGAGCCAGTTTCGGTCAAACCTTCTTCAATGATTAACGCAGCTTTTAATAGAATATGGTTCTTGGGTTAATCATTCGAGCTGAGGAATTTTATTTAGTTTCTTTCAAAATTATTTTACCAGAAAAGAGGGAATCACATAAAAAAATCATCTGGGAATTTAGAAGAAAACTTGATTTACGTGAAATTCAATCCTTAGGTCGTTTTGGTTTACATATACAATCCTTATCAAATATTAATTATTCTGCTTAATAATTTGGCAACGCCCATGTCAGGACGAATGAATAACTGTTAATGGTTGGTAATTTTTATTTTTTATTTTTTTTTTCATTTCTTCATTATCCAAATTTCCAATATTTCAACTATCCTTTTCCTCAATACCTATTCCAAAATACTCAATATACTTATCCACTGTACCTTGTAACCTTTCACTGAATTATTTAGTTTTTTTTTTCCAGCTTCTAGAATTGTTGAAAAAAACTTGTTCTCTTTTGTTCCAGAACCATGATCACTGTTCAATGCGACCAAATCTAGTGGGGGTCTAACCATGCAATGACCCTCTGGGAATACATGGAGATCATCATAACACTTTGCGTTGGCGGGTGCATAGTGGGGTCGCTTCTTTTGTGTTACTCCTACGTCTTCAGGCTCCTGTGCTGCCCGCCGCGCCCAAAGAAAAACCAACAGCATGGCGACAAATCCAGTCCAGAATCAATCTCACTGAAATACATTACTCATCTCAGTAGTCAGCCCACGGACACTAGCCAAGTGTAGATGTGTAAATGCAACTTTTCTTTAGAGATATTGAAAAAGTATCGAAACACTTTTGTGGTTGTGAAGAATCATATTTTGTATTTGTTTGGATGGACGCCATTTTTTCAGGTTTGTATATACACACTTAATTAAAGCTACCAACTTGGAACTTGCAGTATCCTCTCATGGCTCCCAATGAGTACCTACATTATAATAATACTTAGATCGCATTATTAAGTTCTCTATATCATTCTGCATTTGTGGTTGCCTTCTGTCATATCTGTGTGATTATATTCTTCAGCCTGTCTCGTGACGCTTTTTACATAGCATAATTCTCTATCTCGGATCCTTTTCGGCAGTGAAAAACTAAATATAGTGTTTTGTCGTGTTGGTATCAATTGTATCACCACGCGGCAATAAATATACCTTCATCATCATTGGATTTCCCAATATGGTGCACGAAGATCCTCAAACTTTCGTAGTGATGACACCGAGAGTTTACGTGTTTCTTATTTAACAAGTCCTCTATTTGCTGAGTTCAAAGCCTTTTTGTAAATCTGCTGTTTTCGCTCTCATTCCCTTCCGATCTTTCTTGCCATATCTGAGTTTGGACCTAGCATTTTGTACATACACACCGCATATTATCGGTGCAAACTGTCTCTGTGAGCCGGTTCAATTGCTCTTTCGGTGTTATTTCCATCCCTGAAATATTTAGCGTCTATTTGAGGAAACTCCGAATGCTTGCCGGAATTAATTTTGGCTGACTTCAAGGGAATGACATCACTTGCTATTTGGCCTCATACCTATTATGGCGTTGTGGCATTTATATCAATCTTGTTTTCTGATTTGGTATGCTCACTCGTGTTGCACTGAGGAGAACTAATAAGTTCGAAACCGGTATGTAGCTAAGGAAGTGTCCAATGAAAGGAAGCTCGATTTTCTATTTATTATCTTACAAAGCACAAACACTTTACACACACGTAGGATGAGCTTATGAGGTCAATGCCGTGGACTGTAAACTTATGAATACCTGTACCATGAATTTTTCATATAGAAAATATTAGCTGCTTACGAACATTACGAACTAGCACTTTTTTCATCTAAGTTAAAGTTAGTTTCTGACCTGAGCTAAGTTGTTAATCGTACGTGCAATTTTTGTAAACTTATTATTTCCTCGTCGTTAAAATTGAAACTGACTGAAAGTTTCATATTAGTTTTCCTGTTCCAACTTTCAACAAAAATAAACAAACATGTGAGTATGTGTATTGTAAGCGAACATTGCAAAAGGTATAAATTCGTCCCAGTTGTTTTGTTTGTCGTTAATGTAGTGTTTTAAATAATCTTTCAAAGTAAGGTGTGAACGCTCCAAAGCGCCATTAGATTCAGGGTGGTAGGGTGTGCTTGTGGCATGCTTAGTTTTAAATAATTTTATTTTCAACCACATATGTAATGTTGACATTGCAGGTTTTTCAAAATCTTGAAAGTGTCACATTTCTGGACTTTGACATTTATCGGGACGGTAATGCATATGCCTGCCTAGGACGGAAAAGCATTTTCCGTCCGGGACGGCAAATGCTTTTCCGTCCCCATTTCCCTGCTCGTTCCAAATTGATAATTTTCATACAGCTCTCACATATAATAATAAAACCACATGTATTACATGGAACTAATTAAATCTATTCACTTATTTACATTAATTGTTAAATTAGCATTGTTGTTTATAATGGAAATCTTGAGACCATCCTGTTGGAATTGTGTTTCGTTTGGAACTATTATCTCTTGCGCTTGCGGATGAGTTTCCGCATGTGATGTACTTGTGGATGCACTGGACAACTGAATACCTTTGGAAGTAGAGGATAGCATCAGAGCAGTCTTACTTTTGTTCTCCAAAGATGCCTCTATGTAGCCTTCAGCAACCGTGCTCGATTTCCACCCTCCCAGTCTTTTGAGTTGCAATAGATCGGCCCCGTTGTCAACCAATAAGGTTGCGGAAGTACGACGAAAAGCATGCCCTGTAAAAGTTTCAATTTTTGGAAGCTTCAAAAAAGCAGCTATTTTATGTGGAAATTTTGAGATTGAATGATAGCCAATTGCTTGGTTATGTAATTTCCCATTTCGCCATTGAACAAATAACCTGTCATTTTTCAAATTTTTCCGCAAAGTGAGGTATTTGTGGAAAATAGCAACCCAATCTGGATCGCTTATGATAAACGATCGACTTGTGTAAGTTTTTGTGTGTGGAATTTCTATAGCGATCTTTCCTTCCAAAACGTTGACGTGCTCCATTTTCATCTTGACTAGTTCATCGCTCCTACATGCACCCGACACACCAACAATTAGCGCTACCTGAAACCAGATAAAAATAAAATGGGTAACCTAGCTATAGCATACAGAAAATCATTTTGATTTTCGCATTTTTATCTTCTTTGTATATTTTTTGAAAACCTACCTTGATGCTAATGAATTCTTCAGCTGCCTTCGTGAGGAACTCGTTAATGTTTTCTCTGGAAAAAACGCTCGACTTTTTCGGCTGAAAGCCCAGATTTTGCCGCTTCAAAAAAGCTATAAGTTTTGCGTAATTGGAGATATCAACTTTCTCTTTCAATTTAATCATGGTTTTCAACATACTGTAAGTCGACCATAAAGTCGAAGGCTTCTTTTCCTTAGATAATTCGCCAAAATACGCCAACAAAACGGTCTCCGAGGCAGTATTTCTCGTTCCTTTCTGGCTACACCATGCTTCGAATATTTGAAAAGCCTTTTCGTACCGAAATTTGCTTTTTGCTGGAAGCAAACTCTCTCCAATCCTGTCTGCTGCTTCTTTTAATTCAGGTGGGGTACAATCCATCGCTTCATCTTCACTTTCCGAAATCATTTCTTTGGGGAGAACGGGGAGAAATCTAGTGAAAATCTATTATTTCCGCAAAAATACTGAGCGAAAACTACCGTCGTTAAGGCGTTGTTGATCTTATCTATGGTTGTTGATTTTGCGGTTTCCTGTGGTTTCGTCTTTTGTTTTGGCCTTTACAGGGCCTTTGAGATCGTCAAAATTGATGACATTGACAAAAAAAGTGAAATATTTTTTTCTAAGGCCAGTTTTACACTATATGAAAATTTCGTATAACAGAATCTTTAGTTTTTGCATCAGAAAATTAAGGGTTGAAAATAAAAAAGTATACAAACCTCGACGGAAAACTTCATTTCTGTCTCGAGGTTGAGTTTATCTCGACGCTTCGCGTCTCGATAAACTATAATAACCTCTCGACCAGCAATGAAGTATTTTCCGTCTCGGATTGTAATATACTATTAATACACACTGAAATTTGTAAGACGACTCTATCAGAGTACAATATTTGGGATGGAAATCTGTTATTTTCTCTGTACTTTTGTAAATACCAGTTGCAATATTCAAGGCGTAGATCATAATCAGTTGGATACAAGTGCTGATGTAGCGGGTATTTGAATAAGTTGAATTTATGTTTATTCATAATTTTCCATATTGAAGCCTGACTTAAGTCGCATTTTGCAGCGATTTCCTTCGTTAAAGCTGCCCTTTTTACAGCAACCATAGCCAACACACAGAGCTGGGATCGTTACTTGAAAAAAGTAACGCGTTACTTTACAGTTACTTTTACTTAAAAATAACTCGTTACTTAAAATTCACAGTTACTTTCGAATAATGATAACTTTATTTTCGTTACTTATTGGAAAGTAACGCGTTACTGTAACTTCTTTACTTTGAAAGTAACTTCTTTACTTTAAAAGTAGTTCGTTACTTTCAAAGTAACGCGTTACTTTGAAAATAACTATTTACGTCAAAAATTGCGTTATTCCTTAATTTGACTCACCAACACAGCAGTCCAAACAATCAAATAAGACCTATTCGAAATGCCAATATGTTTTTAGTTTGTGAGTCCGACTATGTGGAAGAGTATTCTTGCAAAATTCAAACGGTTTAAGGATTAAGCGACTGAATAGAGCACTTGGTTTTGGACAAACCTTCTCTTTGCAGCGTCTCAATGTCTGCATATAGTGTCTTTAGAGCAGAGGCGGCGCGTGGCACGCCCAAAAACGATTATTTTGAGCTTTCAAAACAAATTTTCTGTACTACCCACATTTTATTTGACATACAAAGTTTTTGGATTACTTATTTTCCTTTTCCTCACTCGTCAATTATTTGTAAAGAAGATAAACAAATTGAGAGAACGAGTTACTTTCATAGTAACTAGTAACGCGTTACTTCCAGCGTTACTTCAGGAAAGTAACGTCGTTACAGTTACTTATCAATCAATCTGAAAAGTAACGAAGTTACCAAGTAACGCGTTACTTTCAGTAACTCGTTAAAGTAAAGTAACTATTTTTTGTCGTTACTCCCAGCTCTGCCAACACATCAACTTCCTTTTCCTCATTTGAAACGAATGGTCCGTTAACGTTATTTGATTCAGTCCTCATGATTTCTATCAAACTGGGAAAATAATGTCGACTTGGGTGGCGACGATTTGGATATTTCGCAGCGTATGCGCGAGCTGCGTGTGTCGCAATCTGCCTGCACCCACCGAATACTAAAATCAAGTCAATCTTATTGCTGCGTGTGAAATTCATAATTATTTCTCTATCGCAGAAAAAAAAAACGCTTGAATACGAAATTAGTCTGACAACTTTTGTCCACCTTGTGTCTAATTTCTAATAACAGAAGGTGCTTAACGTCATTTAAGGTAATCAACTTGTATTACGAGGGTGATTTAAAAGATTTTATTCCAAAAAATTGTTAAGAATCTAGCAGAAGTTTAACATGAGAGGAGACATTATTGTATAGTATCAATCTATTAGTCGGAAAAAAGTTGTTTAGTTGATTCCGTGAGCCACTACCCTTTCCATAAGAAAAAATCAACTTTTACGCATTTAAAAATTTCCAATGGCTGTAGAAGTTGCATTTTGTAATAATAAAAACAAATAATAGTTTTAACAGTTATTTGGCTCCAAAACCTACCAATTAATGTCACTCATGGCACGCTAGATGAAAAGTGAAAATTGGTAATTTCGCTTTCAGAAATGTCAAAAAATTATATCGATATACATTTTCATATTTAGAATGAAGAGGCGAATTTAAATATCTAAAAATA